TGTCAAAATTGTCAATGTGGCACATTTCCGACGCCAAAAAAAGATAGTCCAATACGAGCACCTAGCGACTTTAATAAGTTAACTCAAATGCGATTTGAAGAATCTCCTTTCATCCTTCTTGTCGCATCCGAAGAATGGACGACAAGTTCATACAGAGGTAACTTCCAATGTCCATGTCTACAACTTCCACGTGGGGTTTCTCAACGGCAATAAATTATTTGCGTCTCACCCAGCCTTATCTAGGAACCCAGCGAGCCATCTTGTGTAACACTGGCCCAAAACACATCATTCTAAGTTATTGAGCATCTCAACATTTCTTCAAGTGGAAGCGATCCATCCATATCTACCAATATACCTACCTGTCTACATCATCGACCACACAGGTAAAATTCAACCAACGCCAGACTCACGCAAAAGTAAGGAGATATCATAAATCCACGTGATATTCAAGATAAATATCACACCATGAGTCGTGACATTCCTTTCCGATAACGTTTTTTGTTGCATATCGCATTTCAGGATGAGACATGCATAAATATCCGTCGAATCAACAGATGAGATGGAAGGCTCGGCGGATTCAAGTCGTGCATGAAATAGCTTCATCACGTGTGATTGATAACTTTCTAGCTTCTCACCAAGTACCTAGGTATCCTTCTACACAGCTTCTAGCTTGCGATACCTTCAAGTTCTAGGTCGAGAAGCGAGATCGATATCTCAAAAGAGAAATACCCTTGGTCCACACTCCCCTTGCAACCAACGTACCTACATGATACATCATGCCCCCTTCTCACACAAACCCACCCGCCCACTCCTTCCACAATCCTAACACGTAGTCCCATCCCAAACTTCAAAGCTTCACAGACACACAAACACACAGTAACATCGGCATGGTCCGAAGCGGTCCTCTTCCGTACCTCCTTCACACACCTACACACGCATCCCCGATATCAAATGAGACATTGAGACATTAAAGACGTGTTCTTTCCCTTCAATCATTCGTATAGTTGGCTAGCAATAGCAATACATACCTAGACCCCCGTGCCGCTTCCCCCACCAGCAGCCCCGTTGAAAAACCCAGAAAATTTCCTCCTTCCTAGGTACGAAGCACGTTACCACGTCTTGAAAGTTGACACTCGGTCTACGGTCTACAATGAACGGTACACACTTCGTACAGTGCACACACACGCATGATAAATACCTACCTACCTACCTACCTGACTACCTAGTAGGAGAACCCATCCCCTTCCTCCCAACTAGGTTGAACCGAACCGAACCAAACCAACAAACTGACCTGACCTGACCTTACCTGACCGCTCTTTCGCCTATTCATCTATCCTATTCCTTCCCCTCCTATACGACCGTGTAGACATACTATCCATCTTCTATACGACCGTGTAGACAGACATACATACATACAGACATACAGACATACATACAGACATACACACTTACACACTTCATACTTCATACCTACCCCTAAAATCCATCATCTATCATCCATCATCCATCATCCATCATCTATCATCCACCACAAGTTCCCACCCATTTTCATTTACCAATTTCCTCGAAAAGGATACCCATACCTAATACCTACAAAACACGAGACAAATATGATTCTTCCTTCCTTCCATCCATCCATCCAGAAAACAGTAACGGGTCTCGTCCTGGCGGTCTTGTCGATTTCATAATTCTTAAAACTTTGCTTGTTCACACTCGCTCATAAATAATCATAGTCATCGTCAGAGTGTCTCTAGGAGTCTATGTATATCACAGTGTCAATGTAAAACAAATGCAATATACAAACATCCATATGCATTCTACACGCTTTAGTATACCAATGCCTTTCTTTCTGAATCTCGAATAAAGTTTTAACGTGTTTTTGGTTATTGATTTGTCTTGGTTTTATCCATCTATTTTCCCCCATTTTTTGCCAGTAGCCAGTCATCAATATCTGTATATATACAAATATCAATCCCAGCACTGTCTTTTCTTCATTCCACCCCGTCCAGTCCCATCCCATCCCATTCCATACCCATCCGTCCATCTAGCCATCTCAATCCAAACCAAGCACATTGAGCATCGACATTCTAGACGGCAAACCCATCCAGCCATTGTGAATTTATAGCGACAGATACAATTTGCGATCCATTCCATATTCCCTAAGACTCTGGTATGATAGACATATCAAAATATAACCATGCATACATACTCATACTTTCCATCGCATCGCCTATTGCAAACTTCTCATCCGCCCATCCATTCACTATTCGTTCCTCCAAATCGAATCAGGAACAAAGTAATTCTTCGCAAAAGTTCGCGCACGGTAGATATCTGCACCATTGAGTTCGTTGTCATGCCGTCGAACCTGTCGAATCGAATTTTAATTCCTTCCATCTAGAGTGCCATTCCATTATCATTGTCGTATCATTTCATTACGTATCGTCAAAAGTAGTTCCGAAGAGGTCAGTTTCCTTGTTCGTTTCATTCATCCTTCCTTTCCATTGAGACGCCTCAAAATTAAAAGTGTATTCTTCCCGTGAAGTACAACACCACTACCACAGCAACAGCCACGAGAAGAGACACCAAGATTGTGACTCCAATGCAGATGAAGCGACATCGGCGTTTCTCCTTATACTGTTGATCCAGCCAATCTTCACCTCCGCTATTTCCACAAAGCATGGTTAGCAAAAATCCTTTTCACCCTTCCTCTATACCCATATACTCCGGTCCACCCATTCAATCACTTATCCCTCCCTCCACCTCATCTCCCATCCCCCTACTCTCCACTCTACAATCCGTAAAAACATAACAATCCACAATCCACAAAAAAAAAACACACAAAAAGACCTACCCATAAGAATCCTTTCTCTCCGCCCTCTCACTAGCAAATCCACTCTCCAACTCCTTCAAGTCCACCTCCGACATATGTACCGCCGTCGAGAACCTCTTCCAAAACATGGGATCTCTCACTAAACCCATGCTGGGCGATTGCATAGAGATAGGTCTTTGCGAGACTTCTTGTTTCAATGGGGAAGGACGATGTTCCTTCATCCCGAAGTTGCGTGGTTTGCCTCCCATTTTGTTGTATCAGAGTGGGTATCTAGTGAATAAAAGATTGTGATTCGAATATTTTGGTTGAGTTGAGACAGTGAGGAAAGTTGTTGGAGCGGACCAGAAGTTGACTGAAAAGTAGACTTTCATGCGACCTTTCTTATATCAGAAAGATAATCTCGAGGTTGGGAATATTTGTAAAGTTGAGTTTGGCTGTTAAGTCGAATGCGAAAGTGAGTGTAATGGTTCAAGACTAGTCTCTAACCCAATCCAGATATTCAACACCACGCGAAAGAATGTGTGTGGTAGGTCGCGGCACGGAGCCTTCTCCAATTACTTTAAAGTTCAAAAGAGTGTGTGCAATTGATCTGATCTCTGTATCAATGCGATTTCAGTTCTGGAAAAGGGAACGACGATAGGATAACAAAAGAGTGAAATATAGAAAGAACGAAAGCAAGCTTCAACTTTCAGAACAACATTCAAATGTTTGTAAATAAAGAGAGAGGGTGTGTGTGGGTGGGTGAGTGAGTGAGTGAGTGAGTGAGTGCACAAAAAGACAGGACGAGACGAATCGAAACCAAACGAAACGACTTCTTGAAAGAGATGAGAGGAATGCGATTGTTTGTAAGAAAAAGGAAAGTCCGTCCCGTTCTGATTTCAAACTGCTTAATATGATTGTTATTAAGTTACAGGCTTCTATCTCATACTCACCGATACAAACAGGAAGGAACCCTGGATGTGAACAATTTACCAAAAAGGCGAAAGAAAGCTGCATCAGCTGCAGGAAGAAGGTTTGGGATGGATCCACTATCAAATCGTGAGTTTTAATGCTTGTTCTTTGATCTTTCCTTTTTTAATTCTTTTCTTCAAGCCTTCGATAGTCGATAATTGAATGAATGAAGAATGATTGCATGCTGCTTTAGTTTGACCATCCACTCTTACAATACCTCACATGGACTGAATCTTGCCAAGCATCACCAAGAGACCATCACAAAACAGTAAAAGCAGCATTCAATACCGTTGAATATTCAAAGTCCAGGCCATAATCCATACATCGCAGATGAGCAGGCCCAGGAAATGAGAGTGGAGTCATGCCGATGCAACGATTCAATGAAATCGATTACCATCCGATGAACTCCAGATAAACCTCATTTATAACCATTCCACCAGCCAATCACGTCCGTCACGAATATATTGATGATGAATGTGTGACATCAAAACCCAATAAATATCAAACTCGAGTCGTCCAGGTATTGCATGTGGAATTATATCCGGTGTAACAAGCTACGATGTAATACCAATGCCCTCTGAAGAATCAGGAGAATAGCTTCAACGACCTTGAGGGGAACGCTGTAGCTAGCCAAGGTAGCTAAGAAAGGGGTAAAGTTCAGAGACAGAGTACAAAGTTCCCATTGTATCTAAGCGTCTGTCTACGACGTACGCCGTAAAAGATCATCAGAATCAAACACCTATGAGTTGTCCTCATATCCAAAGTACAACACACGCGTAGGTAGCACCAAATTTCATTTCCCCTACCCAACTTACTAAAATGTCTCCTAGCAACCCGGCAGAGCAGTGATAATCCTCTGTGTCTGTACCACACACACACACCAGTTGAGTGAGCACAACCACTCACTTCACTTCACACCACGCCACGCCATAAAAACAAATAAATAAATAAATTAATAAATAAATAAAAATCCTTCCTTCCCCCACCCATCCATTCATCACCCCCACATCTTCAATCTATTTCCAATTTATCCATATCATCCATCCTATCCCCATCCACCATCCACCACCCATCCCGTCGCTTACCACCCACCTAGCCACTACAATCACCACCTACACATCATCAGCACCTATCAGCGGTCTGCATTCCCGCTTCCAAGCATCCAGCTTCCCAGCATCCCGAAAAGCAAATAAACGAAGAAGCAAGAAGAAAAAAAAACATGGGTAGCATAACCCCCACCCCCTGTCCCGCCTACTGGCAAACCAACATCCCTCCCTCCGCCCACACCCCGCACTGTCCGCCGTCCCTGCAATCCCTCTCCCAAAAAGACATCCGCGTCCTGCTCACCCCGGACTCCGCCTCCCACATTCTCACCTGGCCCATCGTCCGCCACATAATCCGCACCAACCGCCTCGATCTCTTCCAGCGCAAACCCTCCCAGCTCCGCAAATACCTTGAATACTGCTACGCCATCAAACAAACCCACGGCTCCATGATGCGTTTTATCCTCGACGAGAAACTGCACTGGAAAGAATCAGAGCTAGATGCACGGGACGCGCCATTTAGTAATGAGGATGAATATAAAATTTTAATCAACGATTGGCCGTATGGGATTGATGAGAAAATTGTGCATTTGGTGGTGTGGACGAAGTTCGCGCTGGAAGATGATCCCGAGACGGGAGATACGAGGGACGATGTTAAGAGGGAAATTCAGGCGTGGGTAGATCGCGTGTTTGGTGGAGGGGAGAATGTGAGTTGCTGTTTTGATTTTACTTCTATTTTTCCGTTCAACATGTATTCTGTATCTGCATGCGATTGAGTTTTTGTGTAACTTGCTTTGGCTTGTTGTGGCTTATATTGACTAATTCTCCTGGGTATCGTATTGTCATGTGAAGAAAGCTGATGAAGAATTTCATGTATAGGTGATTTGGTTTAGGAATTGGAGAAGCTTGAAATCGATACATTCGGTAGAGCACTTCCACGTCATGCTGTATGATCCTGCTCCTGAATTTGTAAAAGAAGTGACGGGAAGTATTTGAACATTGAGAAGCAGTGAAGTTGCAGTGAAGTTAAACATCAAACGAATAGATTAATCACGGGCGGAGTTGAGAATAACGGTTACGGCGTTCACTCATAGAACGGTATTTAATAGATTGGCTCCGGTGGGTTACAGAATAATTAGACAATGGACATAATGGTAAATAGATTAATCATAAAAATTGCAAGAAGATAGTTTGACTTCTAGTCATGGATACACAAATAGCTAAGCTTGTACCGTCTAATTTGTGACCTATTCACAGCCTGGCAACGTCCAGGTGTATGCCCTCCCCCTTTTGTCATGATCATGACTGGGTATAATTTCATGGCTTTCAATACTATCAAAAAGTCCGCTTCCATAATTCAGGTATATTCTTTGTAACTCCTGCACCATCCAAACGCCACTAATGCTTTGCAATATGCCCCTTACACGTGGGCTATCCATCACAGCTTTCCAAGTACTGGCTTGTCTAAGCATACTCTCGAAGAATGCCAAGACCTTCTTCCCTCTGCCGCCTATATGACTCTTCTTGCTCCTTTGCCTCTTTAATCTCATCCTCAACATCTTGTTTCCAGGCTCCTAGATCAGGTGGAAGATCTTGACTTTGTACACTTGGCGCGTGTTCTACAAAGCGCAGCTGTTCATGAATGCTGGACACAATGTCATTGATTTTTTTCTCTGAATTGTGATTCTTTCTGGCTCCGGTTTGACCTTTGGGAACTGACCCCTTAGCACTTAACAGCTCAGTTAGGTCTGGGTATAAAGATTGATTTCGAAAATGATCGCGGTAGGGTGTATGCATTGGAAGTTCCTCGTTTAGCTTTGCACCAATTGCAATACTAGTTTCGTTTGTCCAAGCACGTGCAACGTTTCGAGGCGTGTAACCGCCCCCTCCTACAAGCATAAGAGGTATGCCATATCCTTTGACATGCTCAACACAAGCACCGTGGCCCTGAACAAGAACATTAAATGTTCCAATGCGATCACCTGCCAATGAATCGGCTCCACATTGAAGGACTATGGCACTAGGACGGAACTTTTCGACACACTTATCAATGACTTGCTTGAACACCCTAATATATTGCTCGTCATCGATGCCATCGTTCAGTGGAACGTTGACGGCGTGATGAGCACCTTGATTGTTTTCATTTTTCGGGCCGGTATCGTCCAAGGCGCCGGTTCCGGGAAAGAAGTTTACGGGATCCCATTTGTGGAAGGAAACAGTCATGACTCGGCCTGTTGACCAAAATGCTTCTTCTACCCCATCACCGTGGTGCACATCTATATCGATATATAAAACTCTTGGAACCTTTCTTAAAAGTTGGAGTATTGCAAGTACAATATCGTTCACATAGCAAAACCCAGAAGCTTCGGTCTTTTTGGCATGATGTAAACCTCCGGACCAATTTATGGCAATATCTGATGTCCCATTACAAAGGCTCCGAGCAGCATCAATCGATGCACCCGAGTACATCGAACAATAATTAAAAAGTCCATCAAAAACAGGACAATCAAAGCTACCAAGGTTGTATGGTGTTTCTATACGTTCGTCTGGTGGGCCGACCTTGGCACTTTTTAGATACTCGAGATAATCGTGGGTATGGAAATCCTCCAATTCCTCTTGAGTTGCCGCACGTGAAACATAAGTATCCATAGCGACGTGCATACCATATGCCATGATCAATCCTTTTGATAGAGTCAAACGCCATGGTTTCATAGGATGTTTTGGTCCGAAATGATGTTTTTCGATCATAGGGTTCATGTGAAACGATACATTATATCCCGTCGGTCGAACGATCCCATTCTTTATAACTTCTTTTTTGACCTCCTCAAGGTATCTTAGGTTATCAGAATCATTTGGTTCTTGTAGTGGAACTCCCCATTCCTGAACAATAGAGGTCATTTTGATTATTGTGGAAAGGCCTTAGGTATTGAGCGTAACTGTTGTGCGAATTAAGGCTCCAAGAATCCTTGATTGGGTGATTATGAATCTAAAGTATCGTGGACGATCCAGAGAATGCGCTCGGCGTAAATATGCGAGTGGGTAGACAATAGGAAGATGCGCAACATGCAATTCGCTGGTAGCTCTCGATGAAGGTGTGTACCGTCTGTACGTTTCGTCTGGGACTTTGGTAAGCAAACAGATCAATTTCAAATCTGCTATTCACCTAATCATGTTCTTTGGAAGCAAATCGAATTTCAATAATTGTTGTGCAGCTCTAGAGATAGTACAACTCTAGCTACATATCATAGCCAAGTATGCTCCTTCCTCTCCCCTCCCCTCCGGTAAGAGTTGTAATGTTATTCGTCACTTTGCAAATGGTATAGGTAGGTGAATGAAATGTTTCGAATGGGATGATTCAATCTCGACAATCCCCTCTGATAGGTATCGATGGCTGCCGTTTTCTTTTATGTATGGGGTAGGCAGGTAGTGAAATGAATGTAAGAACCGAATCAATCTTTTGATTAAAGAAGGCAGATATAACTGTAAAATAAGTAGAATACAATGGAATTGATGGAGTTCAAGGTCTCGGTCACCCAATCATTGGATATCAATAAATTATTATTGAGGCTCTGCGGAAGGATGATGGATTGAATGCGATTGATCTCGTGCTTACTAATTAGCTTGAATCTCCAAAAGCAAGGCAAGCAACTCCTTCTATCATGACAACTTATGTGGATATTGAAGGCGATATGAAAGGTCTATAATTGATCTTTTCCATTCTAATCTTTCATTCACCCTCCATCCTCTACATCGCATTGTTATTCGAACATCCTTTGGGCTTGCCGAGTGGCTAAATGCTGACCTTACCTACCTGTCCATCTACATAAAGTACCTACCTACCTACCTGCCTACCTATCTACCTATCTATGATAACTCGAGTGCTTGTACTTGTCTGTACTTGTCCTTGTTCTTGGCCTTTATCTTATCATCTTTTCCTCGGCTCTGTGCTCTGTTTCTTTTTAATCGTCACCAGTCAGTCACAACCCACAACTAGACGGCCAACAAACAAACATCCCACCTGTGTGCATTCGTGTGGTGGTTCAACTAAATCCCCCTCCACGCATTCACTCGCTCCCTGCCCCTCGAATTAATTATTTGTAAAAGGAAAATTCCCATTTTTCTTAATCAAATAGGATAAGAGTGCTGGAGCCACCCCCTTCACTAATCTGTACTGTGCCTATGCAGATGATTGGTAACTTTTATCATCAATATTTTTAACATTCAAGGTAAGCTGTCGCAACTTCAGTTTTGCATGCGCAATCATTCCTATCAAAGGCATCATATTCTCATGACACCTACATCTTCCTATCTGTCTTTTGATTTTGTTTTCTTTTTTTCGGGCATCGCATCTTACCTTCATAACATACGTTTGCTGCGGGATTCCCGTCAACGTTAATAACAATGCCCAGAGACGATCTTTCCATCGATTTTGTCCCCAAATACAAAAATAATATCAATATGCCGCAGATCGAGCAATTAGATACAGCGGGAGTTCTCGATGACTGGATCAACCGTGTCGCAAATTTACCCCACGAAATTGCTTTCAAGCAGGATGAGATAGGAGAAAAGGATAAAGCTATGCAAGAGTGCCTCTCTTCCATAGCAAAGCACGATGCTGCTCTCCAAAAATGGACCAAGGCGAACGGGGCAAACCAGCCGAATCCAAAAGAGCCAACCTTGAACAAGATAATACTCGAGAATTATGAAAAAGCAGAGCGCCTTCAAGATGAGAAAATCAAGTTATGTCAGGATCTAGAAAGCCTCGTCGAGGGACACGTTCGACGACTGGACCAGCAAATCAAAACGCTACAACTTAAAGGAGAATTTCCAAAAGATCCAGATCTGCCTTCACTGCTAGACCCAAAACCGATCGATCGCTCCCGATTAGATACACACGGCGGCACGAGACCACTTGGTGAAATCATAAACTCAGTCTCCTCCCCTCACGCACGACATCCAAGTAATTCCAGAATATCTGCCAACAGTAACCAACTTAATGGCGCGATGGCATCTTCTGCTCCAGCAACACCCGCTGCTACTTTACTTTTACAAAGACAAACTCGGGAATCATCACTTGGCGCAATGAACAAGCGGCCACGACTTACTGGAGGACTGGGTACTTTGCCAACAGCATCTAGTGGACTTGCTCGCCATTCATCAATGACCCCAGGTACTCCTCGTGGAGGTACACCGTCTGCCGTACGCGGTGGTAGTGCTGGACCAAGAAATTCACAGAAAAAGAAAGTGGCACCTCAGGGCAGCAGGCAAAGTGGCGCTCCGCGCAAAGGTAAACCTGGAAAATCTGGTCTTAGTAGATTAAAGCGAGGACATAAAAACTCGCCGTCTTCCGCAAACGACAGTGAGCTTAGCGATGCGGAATCTGGCTCCGCCGAAGAAGAAGAAAACACCGGACGTCAAAGCAAGGACGCTGATGGAGACGATGATATGGTTGATGTCGATGATGAAGAGGGTGGAGATGATAAGAAATACTGCATATGTCACAACATCAGTTATGGAGACATGGTGGCATGCGATAACGAAGATTGTCCTTATGAATGGTTTCATTGGTCTTGTGTTGGCGTTAAGAGTGATCCCTTGGGCACCTGGATATGTCCAGTATGTACTCCTAAAATGCCTAAGAAGGCCTAAAAGCATTTGTTCAATGGGGGGAGGCGTTTTTGGGTCATCAAAGTGGAATCTAGGGGGCATTGGCAAATACAATCATCTACGGATAAAGCCATGGGTAAATGGCGTTAATAGCTAGAGGCAGCGGGCTAGCTCTGGGACTTATACCTTGTTAATAATACTTTTCAACTGCCAGTAGACAGATGACAATTATCACTTCAGGGGGTTGAATATATTGGCCTTGTATTTCGTAGGGCCCTTTTGTAAAATACTACAATTCCATTTTTACATAGAATCAATGCTTGCTCAAGTGAAATTTGGGAACAATGAAACAACGTACCCCGCCATCGAATTGACATTATACAATTTTCTTTCGCCGCCTTATTCTGCCCATCTACAATTTACCCCGCCAACAACATGACCGTTATTTCCCCAATCCTACAAAATCACTTCCATGTCACAACCTCATATCCGTTCTTTCCTCATTAACCTCGCCATTTCTTGATTGGCAATCACAATGGAGTCTCAGTAAGTTTATCTGCGCTTTTTGTATCTTCATCTCTACAATCATTATTGCAAACATCAAATAAACCCTCATCACATCAATATTCCCCTCGCTCTTTTTTTTCAATTTGCATACTGGTCCACGGGTACTTCTAATTGCTCTCACTATCACTTCAATTGGCAACGAATCTCTGGGCTGCTAAACTCACTAACATAATCTCAAGAGCTGATCTTATCAATTCTTCCACCATTCTTAGTGAAGTAAGCATTGGAGATTTGTCTATCAGGCCAAGGACAAAGACTAATAGAAGTAGGATCATTCATCTATTTTGAATATGGCATACAGTTACGAGTCCTCTGCATGGATGTCAAGCTGGGAGCTTTCAAAAGCTCGTGAAGAGCCTGCTGCTGTCATTGGCGTCAAAGACTTGCAATTGCAGGTCATGGCCGGAGCCGATGGGTGGACTGGGGATTGGGTTGAGGCTACTTGTCCACAACAACCAGCTCTCGTCTCGGTGTCCTTTGCTTTACGACGACCTTTCAAGAAGGCATCTGAAGATGATGATATCGCAGGGGACACTATTCATTATGGCCTCATCAAATTAGCAATTATCGACGGTGTTAGGGCTTATCATGCAAGAGGTATAACACCTGACTTTGCAAGCGAACTTTCCATGAAGTCAATCTGTATATTCATCGCTTCTGTTCTTGTTAGGCGCAGTCTTGCAGTAGGTAGAAACGTCAATTGGTCCTCAATCAGAATCATGCTTCCAAAATCGTCTTTACGGGGAGCTGGTGCCAGTCTTACTGCACAAGCGATTTACAAAGAACCTTCGTTGGAGGAACAGGAAGCAGGCACCTTGCGCAGCACTGGTCATATCGGAGAGAGTTGTACCCTTCGACTGCATGACCTTACAGTTCCCACCATAATAGGCTTGTTGCCAAAAGAGCGCACCATGAAGCAGAATGTGGTTGCGAATATTGAGATAGATAGATGGTATGGCCTGGGAGATCTTCATTGGGATATACAGCAGATCGTTGTGAAGGTAGCCAGCATATTCCCCATCTTGCGTCACCCATTTACTAATTTCACTTGGTAATATCTAGACGATAGAAGAATCATCATTCCAAACTTTGGAGGCACTGGCAGAGCGCATAAGCAAGAACATCATTCGACACTCTTTGATCCCTACCATGATAAAGCAAACCTCCACAAAAGATAAGTGGGATGAGCTTGCTGATGATTATGCAGACGTCCCATGGGAGGAAACGCATGTGCCCAGAATATGTCCAATTGTTAAGATCAAGCTGGAAAAGCCAAGTATATACGTTGACACCACACCAGGTGTTGAAATGAGCATGGACATTCGACCCTCATGTGACTCGCCATACTTTGATTTATGGGAAGGGTACAAGAGGTTGCGTTTATGTCCACGCCCACTCATAGGTACGCTCACGGACTGGATTGCACAGGAGCACCCCGGAGGATCAAAGGACGGAACATCGTCAAACGTAGTAGGCATTAATCGAAAGTTGGATGGTCTCCAACCCGATCTCGCCAGGACGCCCCAAGATGCGAAGGAAATCACTGCTCAGCCAGGAGAGCACCCAGAAAATCCACAGGATGGAGAATCACCAAGGTTAGATCTGAATCAAAAGCTAGATGGCTCCCAAACTGACACCTCCCAATACAATGATAATGCGGAAGAAACTGTTACTCGGCCTAAGGAACACCCGGAAAACTCAAAGGATGGAGAATTGTCAATTTTGAGTGACTTAAATCAAGAGCTCAAGACTTGGCAAAGGGATATTGCTCAACTTCGAAAAACTGCACAAGGAATCAGGGCTAACGCAAAAAAACTGGATGATAGAAAATCTTCAATGTTAGCAGAAATTAGCCAATTGCTGGATAACTTCAGAAACGAGCTCACCAACGTTCAAAAAGCAATGCAGGAGTTCGTTGTTCAGTAATTATCTTTTGCGTCTAAAAAGTTGTAGAGAGAGGGCGAGAAAAGGGTACGGGTTAATGATGTTTTGTCAACATGCTGTTTCTGGGAGTCAACCTTCATATTTTAGACCAGAGGATGATGAAAACTGGCGCCAGTATTGAAGTTGGGTTAGATGGAAAATGTATGGAATTAAGGGTGGTATTTTATTTTCTTAGAAAATCAGCATTCACGGGGTATTTTGGGTTGCATAGGTTCCTTTTCATCATACTGAGGACTAGCGTTGTATACATTATTGCATGTGTTAACATCTTGTTATCAATGGGATATTCAAATTTGAATTGCATTCCCTCTATAATTTCTTGTACCCCTCAACTGCCATTGTGATTGTGACTATGGGTCCATGGACTGATTATCTGGCTTTGAAGTGGATTTCTTCAAACAGTTTTCTGACGACCATTAGTTGCTCTGTGGTTTGATATCTAGCTTTGAATAAAAACTCACGATTCAATGTTGCGTTCATGTTCCTACTTTTAAAATAATAGTCAAAGAAAACAAAAACTCCAAAGTGGTTGATTTCAAATTATGTATTTTCCTGTATGTATATGGATAATTACTTCTACTAAAACGCACCTTAACGACAGCGAAGCAATACCGGATATTCATCTCATCGATGAAACTCCCAGAATATAATATATACGTGTGTGTACGTAAGGTAAGGTAAGATATGATAAGATACATATGAGACGACTCCCCAAATCCGAATCCAAATACAGATGCAAACCGAGCACGCCTGCTCGCTCATTGTTTGCCTAGACAGAATAGTATTCCAAACAACGCCATTCCATGCATCCAAGCACGCATCCATCAATTTGTATTTCCAATCCCAAGAACCCATTTTCCAAATAATATTACTTTGATAAAATCATCAAGAACCTATAATCGCTCCGGACTCTCCGCGCCCGGCATGATTGTTTCTCTCGCAGCTTCTGCCTCCATTTCCAAGCCATCCCGCTTTAAGGTGTATGCTTTCCAGCCTACAAATGCACAGAGGATGATTCCCACGACCAATGCTGAGCCCATCAACATACCATTAATCGGTACTGGGTTCCCGTTGAAGACTTTGTGGAGGAGGGCATCCAATCCACTTTGACTAAAATTGAGAAGACCTGCTAAACAGATAATCAATCCGTATACCGTTCCAAAAGTACGGAATCCAAAGACCTTGGCTGAGTAATCGGATACGGCGGTGTAGTAGAAGGGACGGTAGAGGACGAAGAGGGAGATATTCGCATAGGCGGCCCAGGAAAAGGGGAGCATGCCGAGAACGCCAATAGTGGTCGCGATGGTCACGAGGAGCGAGAGAACAAATGCGGTACTGGTATTGTCGAGAATGATACCAATGAAAGGGATTGAGAGAACGCCGCCCAATGGAAGAGCCAGATCAAAGAAAGTGTTAACATCGACGGCTTTGTCGTAGGAACCAAGGAGGTACTCGTATTGTGGACGAATGGTGGCGACGAAGAAATTGATCCGTGTCATTTGGATAACGGTAAATAGGGTAATAAGAACGAACCACGGCGACAGGATTTGTTGTACTACAGTTTTTCCGTGTAACACTCCCCATACGCCGGAGATTTTATTCTTGCGCTCTTCTTGCTTAACTTGTTTACTGCCCGGCTTGGTGCCCAAAAGTTCGGTTATTTCTGAGACAATGGAATCACGACGTTGACGACGCTCTTCGCGAAGGAGAGCTGTAGTTTCGTCCATTTGATCGTCGAATAAATCGTCATCTTCGACCTGTTTAACCATTTCTCCTACTGTCTTGTACGATTGCGAAGGCATGACGAATATTTGTGCGATGAGGATAAAAGCCGGAACGATCAGATAGATGAGGAAGAACTGTTTGATGTGGAAAGTTCCGTCACTCCATTGATATATGATTCGATATACGAGGAAGAGCGCACTGGAGGTGTCAAAGGCACCTTGAAAATCATTAGGTCAAATGCGAAAGCGGAGGCAAAATAACAATTACTTACCAGTTAAAAGGGCCAAGATCAAACCGGAATGTTTGGGAAAGGTATTCGAAAGCTGATAAGAGGTAATCAAGAAGAAAGCTCCTCCGAGTGCTAACAACAGATATCCTGGAATAAATCCATCAAAAGGTAACTCATCCGCAAAAGCAAAGAGTGTAGCTCCAGCCGCCAGGAAAATGCTTCCTATGATACCAGCTACTCTTGGACCAAAGTTATCCAAGATAGAGCCAATTGGTAAAGCTGCAACATTTGTGCCAACCGCAGCAATCGTGAACATCAAGTTCAGATGTATCTCCTGCTCAAAGCAAGTTCGTACTCCCTCTTTCAATTCATCTTCTGAACAATATTCTCGATAGACACCTTCGCGGATAAGAACCGGTTTGAGCGCTGCATATCCGAAGACGATACCGGCAGCGAGGAGACAGTATACTACTGCAATTGCGACTTGTACTACAATTGAGAGTTCAATTAGTACATTTCCGCAGAATGATTTTCGACCATCCGACGAGACGATGTAGAGATGAAGATTCGCAGCCCAACATTCCAATGCCGCATGCGCATCACCACAAACCAACAAACACACTTACAAATTCGCTTCCCCTTCGAAACCTCAAACGCAGCCACCGTTTCTATCTCCTCGACCACCTGCTCCTGCGGTTCCAAATCATCCCCCCAATTTCCTGGTAACGGACTAAAGCTCAATTTCCTCCTCTGCGAACCCGCCGGGGACCTGCCTCTTTCCGGCGACAGCGATTCAAACGACGTTACTCTTTGCGACAACGACATGATGGTTGAATGTCTACCTCGTTCCCCGTCTGTGCGACACGCCGACTTTTATATTCCGCGAATCGTACCCTAAGGAAAGAGAAACAGGCAGCGGTGACGCTATGAATACCTCGTGGTCCAATGGGTCTGAATCGCAACTCGAGCTGTTTTGCGGGGTAGGAATGTTTTATATAATGGAAACTCAAAATTGTGGCGGGGGAAACGCAGCTCTGCAGACTTCGAGTTAGCGGGTGGAAAGAGCTTGTGATTCACAAGTTGCTCTTGAAATCAATTGCGTCAGAAAAGTTTAATGCAACTCTTGAAAATCAGAATGATTCAATCTTTCTCACTGTTTCTTGTTGTTACGAAGAAAAAAAGCACACGAAAGGTTACATGTACATTTTATAGGAAACATATATTTTTATTTTTTCTATCCAAGAACAAGGTCCAACAAAATCTTTGCTTGCAACTTGCAAATAACCTGGCACTTTTCTATCAGCTTGGGTCCAATCTTTTGTCGACTAGACTTTTTTAACCCTGTACTTGCATACGCTGAGGGTCGTTCTACTGCATTAGCAGATTAGCTCGTGATATTCAAATATTCTCGGCGAGAATTCGAAATTATTGAGAAAATCGCGAAGGAAACCCCATCGGATCCCTCCGAGGGTTGCAGAGATAATAAATATATCAATTGTATCAAATATCAAAAGTGGGAAAGACAACAGGAGTAGTGGCAGAAAAAGGCAATCAATCTGCAAATTCATCTACAAAGTAAATGGATAAAGTGTTGTATTAGGATCATTTTTTATTTATTTCACACAATGTACTGAGCATAGCTTTTCACGACATAATACAGTACAACATTGAAAATATGAATTTGTCTGCCTCTCAAGGGATTGCTTCCCCATTTTCACTCCTTTTCCAATCCAAATACCCATTCCACATCCAGGCATACATCGCCCATCGGTCCCTTTTACCCCAGTGCTTTCAAAACTCTCATGCTCTCTCTCCAGATGATTATTGTACTGATATTAACTGCGCCAGCTTCAATCAAGGAAATTCGTCAAATACGGTAAGGAATAACGCGCAATAAATGAACAACCAAACTCGCCATGGTATCTCCTTCCCATAGAAACAAGAACAGGAAAGCAAAATCCATCGTAAGCTTTCGATCACCTGCCCCTCCGCAAAAAGCACGCGGAAGAGACAGGTCACCCCCCTGCCAGAAAATCTACCATCCATCCCTTATCCGCCCCTAAATAACAACTCTAGTATTCTATCCTACTAAGAGCCGTGTGTACCGACGGGTGTGATGTCTCTGCTAGTTCGACCAGTCTCTTTCTTGCTAAGCAAGCTTCTTCCAAAACCTGAACGGGTCTTTGGACTCTCCGATCCATTCTCGGTAGAGCTCATGATGAAATTGGATTTTACGGTAATATAGCCCGCACCACAACGGATTTGCTTCTCTTGCATTGTGCCAGTTTCGTCTACGACAAGCGCTCCCTCGCCAAGATCATCATCTGAGCCAAAGGTATTGTGTGCCTTGACAGACACTTGGAAGGTCGCATCTGCAGAAGTGGTGCATTTAAAGCTTTCTTTCTTCTCGTTGAAAAGTACAGTGCCGTTAGGCGATTTGATATGATCAGTCTTGTGAATGACTTTAGGCTTGGCACCCAGCGATTTAACATAGACCATAACGCTTGAAGAAGGTGGAAATCCCGATGCAGACACAATTGTGAAGTTTGCAATACCCATAGGTCCGCCTGTAGCACCAGGAGAGCCGAACATGCCAGAGTGCCCCGAAGATGCTCCGAAAGACTTGGTTCGTGCATGATTCGGTTCTGATGGAGGTGTCTTTGGAGGCATGATTTCCGGAATTGGTACCCCTGAACCGGGGAGGGCACTTCCACGCTTTAATCCGCCACTTCCATTAGTAATAGGAACGTCGTTATCTAACTCGGAACTAATGCTGCCATTAAGGTCGTCTTCATCCTTCTTCTTACTTTTGAAGCCGTGTCGAATAAAGGAAGCTCCTTTGCCAACACCATGTGCCGCAAAGCCAACACCCTTGATTGGAGCTCCTGCGACTCCAGTGACAATCTTTCCTGGCGTAGCAAATGTACCAGAGAACGTTGAACTTCCTTGTCTCGACCTAGTCACGTAGTCTGGGCGGAATAGCAAGCGTAGACGAATAGATCCCGATTTACCTTCCAAAGCTAAGCTC